GTGCACCTATGTCCTATATATATATATTGCCATGCCCATAGGCCATATTTAACGTGCGTGACGTTTTGTCTACCTACGTGTATAATTGTCGCATGTCATCCCGTGACGATCTTTTTCGTGATGATTATAGTAATATTGTTTTTGTTTTTTTTTCGTTATTGCAGTATTATCTATTGACGATTGCGAGCACGGCTACAACTGCGACTAATGAATGACGATATCGATATGATAACAACATAGGTACTCCTCGTGGCCACAGGATTTACTATGGTAAAATATCTCATGGTAGATCTCGACCACACACACAGTTATAAATTATAATAATCTTATTGGCCTACGTTCATGCTATATTATAATTGACCAAAGAATGAGCATACGTCAGACGAACAGCAGTGCACTGCAGTATTTGTTGAAGAAAGTATGTACACAGACATTTCAATGTCTATTATACTAATATTGTGTGAGTTATATCCTGTCAGTTAAGATACATCGTGGACCTTTTAGATTCTGAGCGAAACGACGAATGTATTGATTTTACAATAATGTGTGTTTTTTTTTTTTTTTTTTTTTTTTTTTTGGTGCCTGTCATTACGTTTTAGGACAGTAAAAGTGCTTGGATTTTCTCCAACAGTAGCTTTTCTGATAGGAAAGAGAATCTAGTTGGTACTTTGGGGGGTCAAAAGTTAAAATTCCCAGTAGTTTTCAAAAGCGGCGTGAAATACAAAATAAAAATTAAGGAAAAACGGGAATTTTTACACTAATATCTGTTTTCGAAAAAATCGATTTTGGTTTTTGGTGCAACTCTTAAACAAATGTCCGTAGGAACATGAAATTTTGACTAAATGTTTATATTAGTATTTTCTATACACGATAACATTTTCAAATAGTTTTGATTTATTTTGAACTGTTTAGGAACATTTTCATTTTCCAGTTTTTTTTAGTTTTTTTTCTAAAAATTTCAATAAAATTTTATTTGTTGGTTAAAAACGTTTGAAAATTTAAGACAAGGCTCTTACTATTACTATATTGTTACAATGACATTTGAAATATATTAAAAATCCTTAGTCACAGTTTTTTTTTATAAGCATTTAAAGTTCAAAAATTGACAAAATATGAAAAAATCACAAAAATTAGCAAATTATTTTGAGTTAAGATTTCGTAAAAATTTTTCTTTTTAAATCTAAGGTTTTAAAATGTAATACAAGATTCCTTATAAGATTATCTACCTTTATCAAAAAAAAATGTCTATAAGAAAGTCAAATTAAATTTTTATGAGCGTTTGAAATTCAAATGTTTACAACATTGGATATTCACTAGATTTCTCATGTAGCAATTTCCTTATTTTGTTGTAATTCAAAAACGAATGACTGTAGATACATGAAAATTTCACTGAATATTTATATTAACATTTCCTATACACCATACAATTTTAAAAATATTTTGACTCTTTTTGAGCTGTTTACGGACATTTTCAGTTTTCAATTTTTTAGTTTTTTTTTCTATAAATATCAATAAAGTTTTATCTGTTGGGCCAGAAAGTGTAAAAAATTAATACAAGGCTCCTGATATATTGCTATATTATAAGGTACTAATTACTCTATTCCATATTATTATTATGAATTTGAAATTTTTGGAAATGCAAGCAAATTAAAGTTATAATATTACGAAATTATATAATACGTTGTAGATAGGAATTATGAATATTCCTTATTCTAGCCCCAATAAAATTGGTAATTGCTAACTGTGTAAGGAATCCAACTTACCATAGGTATTAAAGTATAATATATATAAACTCAAAATAATTAAAAACTACTGTTTTTTTTTAAAACAATGAAACATTTTGATGGGCCATGCCTAATAGTATTATATTATAATGCTGTGTACCTGTGTACCCATGTAGTCATGTATAGGTATACTAAATAATAGTAATATAGTTAGAAGAGAAAAATCCCCGGACCCTGGAGTCCCCACTATTTTGACCTCATATCATTAACTTTGTCAGGTAACTGTCAGTAGTTAATTTTTTTCCACTCTTTTCGTCAAATTCTTATTTTTAATTGTTGCTTTAGTAATTATACTCAATTATACTACAATTGATGCCTGATGGTTTGCTTAGTCGGTGACACTTGGTCGGCGGGAATAGCTATTTTACGAGTCAGTGGCCATGTATACCATACTCTTGATAAAAATAAGAAGGTTTAATGTTTATAAGACAAGTAAATGTACCATCACCAAGTAAGTGTGGATTATAATTGCACAAAAAGTTTAAATTAGATTTGCACGTTTTCAATATAATGTTGTTTGTACGATCAACAAATTTAAATTGTTCGTTTTTATTTGTTAAGACTGGTAAATCGGAAATTTGTGCTATTGCATCAATAAATGATTTAGGAATGGGAGGCAGCACTTTTCGTCGTTCAAGGTATATAGATTTTCTAATACTGTTAATATCAGCGAATTTGGATGTACTACATGAAGATAGCTCCGTACGTATTATTTTATTTGGCTGTAGATTTAAATCCTCGCAAAAGGAAGCTACCTCTAACTTCCATCAAGTTTAAATCTTCAATAGTATTCGGGTTCATGTTCATGTATAATATGGTATCGGGTAGATATTTATGTGTATTTTAATCGGGTGGTCGTCATCATCCCGACAACGGACATGATATTATTTATATGTAAGTGAACCAATAATATTCGCGATTACCGCTATAATTTAATTTAGTCTCATTTAAATAATTAATATATTATAATATGATACCGGATGATAACAATATGCGGCGGGGAATACCACATTGCAATCTTGTGCGATCCCCACCAATTATTATGTCACTCGAAAGTCGAAATACGAATGATCATGTACAACAAATCGTCATGACGTAATTCAACTACACTGTACATATGGTATTTTGTCGTCGCATTTGGGTACAGTTGTAGTAGTAGACACTAGTAGTCCACACACACACACACACACACACACATACGATATCATTAAGGCGGCTCTTAGTGGCCATTATTTAAGGGGAACAATTTAGGCAATTTCTAATCTTGTCGTAGCCGCCCGTAATCTATGTGTTATAGTCGTAAATGATTATTAGTGTGAAATTCGAAGAAATTCGAACTCGATAACAATAGATTTTATATCGCCCGGCTGCGGGCACACGGTTCAATAGCACACGTACGCGCATGCACAAGTCAACGTAATCACTCTCGAAAAATATTTTTGTACACTCACAACAGTGAAAAATGCTAATAAGCTGGCGAAAAATACACATACTTCTAGTAGTCCAATTTCAATTTTGAAAAATTATTTGAATTCGTCAGCCTCTTTTCTATGATTTGTAGGAAACCGATTTTGGATATTTTAGATAATTTACGTATATTACGGTTCCAAATGACTGCTTGATTTCTCAAATTTAACTTGCACTTTTAAGTGCTAACTATAGACAAAAAGATGAAAAAGTTTTTCCTACAGATCATAGAAAAGAGGCTAACGAATCCAAATAAGTATTCAAAATTGAAATTGGACTACTAGAAGTATGTGTATTTTTCGCCAGCTTATTGGTCTAAATGCATGAAAAATCCAATCGTTTAGAGCCGCCTTAATATTATAATAAATATCGCTCCGTAATATACGATACTCGGGATTCACAACACCGGTGCCGACGACGCGTATATCATCGTGTGTGCGTTTGAAAATAATAATTTACACAGTGCCGCCGATGTGATGCAGAGCGATTATTATTATTATTATATATTATAATAATATATGTATAATATAATTTATAATGTTATTTACGCAGCGGCAAAAACACACAGCGCCGTCGTCGTCGTCGTCGGGTGCGTTGATTTAGAAACGTGCCGGATGTTTTAAATACACACACGCACGCCCAAAACCAAACTCACCGGGCGTTCAGGCGTTGTGATTTATCTAGAGGCGGAGGACGATTTATGTCGACAACCAGCTCATTAACGGCTCGGCACGACCCATAAAGCTATCTGCATCGTTCACGGGTTTAAACACGACGTGTTAAAACGTTTACGGTTTCCGTGAATATCGCGAGCGCGCGTCTGCCGTTCCGCTCCCTCGTCGCCTCTGCAGCCGCTCAACCACCGCCGCCGCCGCCGCTGGTTCAAACGCTGCCATTATTTTATAATAATAATGATAATATTTCGCCAGCGGGCTGCGGCCGCATACTACATACCTATATCGTATTATTATTTATACTGTTATTAATGTTATACTCGCCGAGACGATTTCGGAGACAGGAGTAAAAAATAAATAAAAATATAGCAGTCGTAATAATAATATTGCCTGCACCCGTTTCTCCGCCGGAGAACAACTACCCACGTCTATATTATAATAATATAATATTATGGTTTTCGGAATGATATAATATCCCTACGCGAACTCCGTAGATATAATATTCTAATGATATTGTCTATCATAGTTTATAATATTACAGTCATATTGTCTATTATAGTTTATAATATTACTAGCTGCCCGATCTTCCTCCGGAAGGAATTATTTTTTTAAAATTTAATTTAAAAACATGACTATTTTTTGGCTATACAAACAATATAATATAATTTCATATTGTAGTTATTATTATTAGTAATTTCTGAAAATTTGATATCCTACATTTTGAATTCAACCACCGGAGTGGTAAATTGTATTCTTTTTATTATATAGAATAGAGATAAGGTATAAAAGAAGGTAACAATAAATTATTTGTTCAGTTAATAATATATATATTTCAAATAGAAAAATGCAAGTGCAAACAAATAATTAATAATAATAATATCAATAATAACAATAATAAATAAACAAACAAATAGAATATTTCGTTTGAATTTCAATAAATTACAGAAGTTACTATATAAACAATAATAAAATTAATAATCAATTGTACGTATGCATAGTCAATGTATGTGTCACATAAGACGTGTTAAGCTGTCTTATTTGACACATAAATTGACTATGCATACGGACAAATGTCTTATTGCCTTCTACTAATAATTCTATTTTCTACTGCTTGACGTTCGAGATTTAATCTGATTTTTTTAAATGTAAGTTCATTAATTTCATTTTGCAATTGTTCTTGGAGGATGTATATCTCGTCTAAACGACGCTTCGTAGACTTTTTGTCTTCTATTATTTGTGAAATAACCTTGTCATCTACTGATGTTAAATATGCGTTATCTATTATTGGAAAAAAAAAATACAATACACATTATAGAATGTTGCTATGTAAGTCAATTTGTGTAACCTATTTTAAAAACCAACCTGATTGATTTAATGTAGTGTTATCGATTGACGATGATTGTGTTAAATCCATTCTATCGACTTGATATCGGCCCTCCTTTTTATACCATTCTTTTAACACCTCTTTTTCAGGCCAATTAGGGTTAATTTGTATAACAGTAGAATGCGTTACAGATAATTTTTTCCCTTTTTTATAAATAACTAATTTACTCTTCTCAACTGATAGAACGTCTTCTATTTGTCCAGTAAATAAAGAAGCTTCTTCGTTCCATAGCGTAAGTGTTATCTAAAATAAAATATAACATAAAATCATTTATAGGTATTTAAAATAGATAAAATGTCTATTGTAATACAAAACCTACTTACCTCGATTCCAGTATTATCTGCTATTACAACATCTCGTAGTTTCAGTGTTTTGGTTGGCTTTACAATGTCTACTATGTCTTCTATGCGAATTATTACTCCAATAGTGTCTAGAAAGTAATCAAGTAGTAAATAAAATTAATTATAACGCGGAAGACTATAGCCTATATAATATATAATAATGTGTATACATACCAACTATCGCATCATTATTTAATGTTATAATACTATCAAACGTCATAAGAGTGACGTGTGTTGGAACTACATCCGATGTATCTTCTATTTGAGTAATAATTGTCATAGGTCCCATTATAATTTCATAATTATGATTTAGGGCCAGTTGTACCGTCTACGGTTAAACTACGATTAAGCTTAATCAGCTGATAACAGATATTTAACCGTGCAAATTCGGCCGATTAAACTCCGGTTAACTTTAATCAGAGATGGTACAACTGGCCCTAAGGCGATTGTATAATTTATTAGATTTGTTAATTTTTCCATTTACTATGCTAAAAATCTGGTCTTTCTATAAAGGTACAAATCATAATGTTTTTATAGATATAAGATCCCTACATTTTTAAATTTAATAAATCGTATTTGACGATAGTAATATTATTATTTATTACTATTCTTCATATCATACCTTGAAAATTGAGCACACATTTTCGGCATCGTTATTAAAAGCGGTGAGACGTATTTCTCCCGTAGCATCAAATATATCCACACAAAAAAGTTTTCCTATATTATTTTTGAAGGAACGTAATTCGTGAACTTTTGAAACACGTGCTTCAATCTTAAAACTAAATATGAAATTATAATACATCATATTATAAATGCGGCATATAATATTAATTGGTACGTGTGCAAAAAAAAGTGCCATTAATACTTTGTTAAGTATTGTATATCTAAGTTTCAGTAATTTAAAATCGATAATTACCTTGATCCCAATGACTGATCGATGTCTCGAATATTTACCACACCGGCCATAATTGAAACAGCAAATTTTTTACTATAAGTAGGTATACGAACTTTAGATAAACTTCGTTTCACTTAAATGGTGAAAGAATAACTGATAATCGATATAGATGAGTGCTCGTATTTAAAGGGTCGATGGAAATGCCATTAACGAATAGCATGAGGGAGGCGTGTTATGGGTGGGGCCACTGCCCAATGAAATGTCAAAACTAAAGATACCACATAAATACATAATACGTAATTAACACATATACGCGTGACGTTGAATAATAATGTTTATTTTATAATTATGCTACAATTCAATTAACATTTATAATAGGTAGGTAGGTATTATCTAACATTAAATAAATTATACAGTTAATAAGATTAATTTTAATGTAATAACAAAAATAGCTTAAATGAATTACATTTAAAAAAATATTAAACCCAACATAATTTATTTTATATAATATACATATATACAAAAATATAAATATATAAATATCTAAATCAATATTAATTATATCATTGATATTTACAAAACTTCCGGGTAAACAATATTTTTAGTTTTACTTGCAGATGGTGATAAAATTGTAATACACTTAGAACTGCCTACTCTAGAGCACGCTACATATAACTGACCATGAGAAAATCATGGCTCACTTAAATCAATCCCAATGACTTTGAACGTTTGACCTTGAGCCTTATTAATGGTCATTGCCATACAGGGTTTTACAGGAAACTGTAATCTTTTAAATTCAATTGGAAAATCTGTGGGTATCATTGGTATTCGAGGTATGAACACACTTTCTCCGGAATAACTACCAGTTAAAATAGTTGCTTCTAACACATTTTGGTGTAAATTTGAAATCAATAATCTTGTTCCATTGCACAATTTAGGTGCGTCTAAATTACGGAGCAATATTATGGGTGTTCCAACCTTAAAAAAATATGAAGTATATCATGACGTATGGAAATTAAAAATAATATTATTCAGATTAATTTTATGTTAGTGTACTAACAAAATATAAAATGCCTACTTTTAATTTCAACTCATGCGGTGGAAAACCAGGTGGATTTAAAGTATGAAGAAATTCAGAAGGATAGTTCACACATTGTTCAGGATCTGGTGTTGTGTCAATTGAAACATATTATAGTGTTTCTTTCGTATTAATACAGTTTAATATCATAGAATTAATTAAAGTGACTTGTGAGTTTTTTGGACATAATATAGCACGTTCACACCACCAAGAATTATTACATAAAGTGACATTGGTTAAGTCGGGATAAATACTATTTATTAATTCAGGGATATTAAAAATAATTTTTCCAAAGTCATCGGTCAATGAAATTTGATTATTTTCGTCTATCGGTAATTTTCCCTCTCCAATATCCAATAAAAACTTACTAAATTCATCTGAAATTAAAATATTTTTCCATTAAATTAATATGAATTTCATGATTACAATATAACTATTGAAGTATAATTTTAATTAAAAATTAATTATATTTACTTTGAATCAATAATAACACTTTATTACTGTTCATATTTATACAAATACCTTAAAAATTGACCATTCATTATATTTTACCTGAATCTTGTTCTTTACTTAATTGTACTCGTATATTAGACGTAAGTTTCAATCTAATAACATGTTCCCATAAATTTGACGATTTAATACATACATGTATTTCATCAGTTTTAGTACCCCGAGGCACAACAGGTAAAATTTGACGGAAATCACCTACAATTAATTAAAAATATTACATAACTAATGAAATGAGTAATGACAATACATGGTTGTTTGATGACGGTAATAAATAAAATGTAACTGAAAAATAATTGTATTAGGTACCCGAAAATGCAATCGTAATCCGACCCATGATATCATTTTTACCAGTCAGATCAATCAATGAACGGTTCAGTGCTTCAATAGCTTTTTTATGAGCCATATAGTACACTCGTCCCATACAATCAACTTACATTCTTGTATTACTTTGGCCATTGCTGACCCTTTTTTTATGTTGCATACAGGTAAATCGTTGTTTATCATAGTGAGAGGTAATTTAAACATTGAATGTGCTGTTATTCCTCCAGGCAATACTGTTGCAGCTATCCCTGACGATGCAACACACAACGCTATTTTTCCTTCATGTGTTATTTTTGACAATAATAACTTTAGTATAAATGTCTTACCAGTTCCTCCAGGAGCGTCGATGAAAAATAATTTACCATCGTGGCGAAGAACTGAATTGTAGACAGCATCAAATACACATCTCTGTTCATTAGTAAGTCTTGGCTCGTTAGTGGAAATATCAGTTTTCAAACTACATTTATCATATTGTGTTTCCCTCATATATTCAAATTGATTATCCATATTAACATTACTATCATTACTATCATTACTATCACATTCAGGCAACGGTAAATTGTAGTATTGTAATTGTTTTCCATTTATTTTTAATAAAATATTATTAAGTAATCTCAAAGTTTTATTATATATTGTATCGTTAAATGTGCTATTTGGATCTAGTATCTTTGATTGATGTAAAATATCATCAGACATACTATTACGGTGTAAAATCCATAATTCAAGTGGATCTGATATTTGACACGCACTCAACATGAGTGCAAATAAATATCGTAACTTTGAAGACGAATCATTCAGTGAAGCTTCGGTCAATGTCAATGACCAATGACTGTCATCATCTATTAAATTAAGTGTTTTGCATGCTTGTTGAAAAGTTGGATAATTAATATTGTTTACCGTTCGTAAATTTTGAAAAGAAGTTGGGCCTTTAACCACGTGTAGTAATAATCTCAAAAAATAGCATTCTGCATTATTTGGATGTACTGTATAAACCCTGCCGATTGCATCCGTAGAATATATATTATTTTCCAAAAGTTTCCCTCTTTTTCGCCTACTAAATGTATGGTTATTTGAGTCCCATGTGAAATATTTTGGCACTTCATGATATAATAATGTTTTAGCAAAATCATCAACTTGACACAAATCAAAAAATGCCAATAATGTAGTGTTTTTTGAATGATTTAAAATATGCTGAACATTATCTGCGGATGAAAAATATATTCTCTGACCATTTTCCAAATGAACTGCCAAGTGCTGTACGACTGGATGCCTTTGATGCAACGGAAATCCTAATATTTTCCAAACTGCCTCGTTGGTACTAATATATCGTCCAATTTGATAAATTCCAACTTCATCAAATTTATTCGTTAATGCAAATATAGCTTGATCAGACCCTTTATTAATATATTTACAAATGTATTTAATTGATTTTACTGAATGACACCATTCAACATTAATATGAGCATTGAATGTTTTCAATAGTAATGAATTGTATGGAACAATAAATCTATTATCAATTTCCACCAAGGTCGAATTTCGTAATACAGTTGATTTAAATCCACCACTTCTAAAATCCCTTCGTCTGTATAAAGGATAACCATCATATTCAGTAATAGTACTGTTAGTAAATGCTTTCGGATACCTAATATAACAAATTTTTATTAAATATGCATTTCTTTTCATTACATGTATACAATAAAAATGCAAAATCATGTTAATCGTAAACTAATTACGATTTGTTATGCAAAACCACCTTAAGTAGGTAACTACATGGCACTTGAATATATCTATCTCATAACTTGAAAATTAAATTTTTACTCATAACTTACAAAGAAAGTCCTATCGAGAAAATTTAACTTCAGCATCGTTATTATATAAAAAAAAAACATTAATTAAAAAAAATGTAGAATATATATGAGGAGGTTTAAAGTTTAAATTGCATTATTGCTAAGATAGTTTAATAAATACATATGGGTGCGCTTTTGCACTAAAAAATAACTAAATACCTACCTACACTTAAACAAACACAAAATATAAGTTATACTAATAACTTTTAACCTTTATACAAATAATGACATTTTATAAAGATACTTAATTTAAAAAAAATAAAAATTATAATTCAAAATATTTATACAAATTTATAATAGTTATTAATATGAAATAGATTTAAATATGTATATTGAATATCAAAATTTATTATTACCTTTTTGAACATTTTTGGTTTTCTCCCATACATGGAGAATTTGGATTCATATAACCACATGGCCCATGTACCATGTGTTTTTTAACTATTTCAAATAATTCAGGATCTATTTCGGGGTTTGGTAACTCAGCACTTATTATATCATCGACATCATTTGGTCTAATTTTATCAACTAACCAAACCAGTAAATGAGCATGAGGAAGACCTTAAATAATGAATCATTATACGTAGAAAAATAAATAAATAAATAAATAATAGTATTCATTTATTACCTCGTTTTTGCCACTCAACAGTATACATATAACACTGAGTTTCACCAAATATACGATGTTTCACAATTAAGTTCATTAGAACTTTCATTTTTTGATGAAAAACTCTAGCGATAATATCGTGTCTGTCTTGTGCAGTTTGACCATGTTTGAGTTCTCTTTTTATTTCCATCCAATTTGGATTACATGTAAATGTAATGAACAAATTTGGAGTTCCAAAATTACGAACGTAAGTCATGGCATCCATCGTTTTTTCGTGCATGTATCTAAAAATCAATAGTATGTACAGACGTACAGTTTTAGATTATTAAAATTATTATTACACACAACACACTGCAGTACATTTTTCGTAGCAATTTTAAGTTATAAGATACAAAATATTTTACTACCTTGGACCTCCTGTAAATGAAGAAGGTAAAATAAAAAGTTGTCCAATGTCATTCACATGACCATCATTTTCTATAGCATCACGTAAATGAATGTAATCTTCCGCTCTTAATTTTGACTGATTATTCCGTATAAATAAAAGTCGTTCTGATTCTATTTTGGCATACATATCAACCTTTCAAAAAATTAAAATTAAAAATTACATTTATTTGTATTATTATAATATTTATACATGTTTTTGAAAAACATGTTGAAAAAAGTTGAAAAAATATTGTTTACTTGCCCAATATTTATTAATAAGTTGTCTATAATTATGTAAATGATTGTAGATATCATGCCTCACCATCAGCCTATACGCATAAAACTGTTTTGAAGAGATAGTTTTATGACTATTGTATTCATTTAAATTAACATTAAATGACAAAATATCAATAGCATAACCATCTTCACCGTGTAGAAATATCAGTGGATATTCAAGAGAATCGTAAGACCTAAAAAACACATAAATAAAAATTAAGAAAAAATGTATAGTGTATACATTTTAAAAGGAATTTACCTATGAGTTTCACTTATTCGTTGTAACTTTTCATCTTTTCTAGATAAAACTATATCACGATTTCCATATTCTTCTCCAATCATTACTACAGCCATTTCTACTTGAGTTGGTGCATTAAATCTACCTCTATGTTGACCTTGAGGAACCATATTTGCATTTATGACTATTCGGTATTGATCAGTGGGCATATGATCCAATGCAGTTTTGAACTTCGTAATTAAAGAATTGATATTATGTAACAATAATTGCAAATCTCTTATAATATCTAAATGTATAAATAAATAAATTAATTAAAACGTTTTTAACAACAAATATATACAATATACAATTACCTTTATTCAATCCACTGCAAATACCCATTCGAGCATCAATTTGTTCCTCTTCGTCATCCATAAAATAAACTTGTAAATATTTATGATTTGTATTTGGTAAAGGCATCAACGATCCGGCTAAATGATATACTTGACCTCTTATTTTAAATGTATGCATATAATTTTCCACAATAGTTTCTGCTGCTCCAAATGACGTCATATGAAATGCATTGTTATATTTAGTAATATTTTCTAAAAAGTGTTTTGAAATATTTGTTGAACTTTCCAAAAGAGTTTTCATTGGTTCTGGTGGTTCATCGATATTGGGAATACGAACAGTTCCATTTGAACAACACATACCAGCAGATTCTCCTTTAATTAAGAAAAAATTATAAAAAGTTTTCAAAATTCTAAAAATGTATACACTAATAATCTACCTTTGAATTTCATTGCATTGCAATATTGACAAATTACATCCATTACACCGATACAAACATCATCGTCGTCATAATATGGATGCTTAGGATTGTATAAATAGGCAGACCGGAATTTTACCCACTTGAAAGGTATATCACCTAAAGTATATGAATTTATAATAATTAATAATAAATAGTAGTGAAACATAGGTGAAGTATAATAAACAGATATATTATTTAATAATGTATATATACCACATACCAAATAATGTGGGTTCAGCATTTGGTCTTAACCTCTTACGCTGTGTATTAAAAAAACATATTGGTTTCAAAGTGACAATTACACACTCTAAAGTTTTTATTATTCGTACGAATATGGTTTTCACGTTCCAATAAATCGGTCCTGTTGCAACTATTAAGCCATTGTATTAACCTATAAGTATTTAAATCATTAGGTGGGTACACATTATAGAATTATTAATTACAATTATTAAGTATTAGCTGTTATTAAATACCTCTCTCCTCCATTTGGAATTGCATACGATGAAATTGCCTGAATGCAATTTGAACGATTTTCACAATGGAAAACGATGCACCTTTTATTACTCATAATAATGAATATTATTATTATTATAATAATTATTATTATTGAATTAATAATATATTTAAGTCACACTTGAAAAAAAAATTAGATCTGTTAGTAACGCTGTACAACAATCGACTGAAGGTTTGGAGTTGGAGATGTCGATCTCATCGATCGAATAAATAAAGGAATGCGCTTGCGTATTAGAAACATTATTATAGGTCAATTATAAAGTAAAGAAAAAAAAGAAAAAAAAAGAAACAGATATCGTTATTGGTGAATATATTTTTTAATTGGTAATTAGTTAATCTAATTATACATATTATTATTATTATTATTATGAGAGGAAGCGCTTAGGTAATAGACTCTCAAAACCGGTTTCCTTCGTCTCCAAAATCAAGTTAGATTCTTATTATATAGATAACAATATAATGTCTATTATAATTTATAATATATTATATATTATTATCCTGGAACAGCGTGCCGCATAAACTATGCAAAACCCACTTAAATCACGTCTTGCGTGCGACTATTATAAGAATAATAATATTGAAAATTGTAATAACTAATATTATTATTATTATTATTATTCTGGACGACTTATGTTCTATAGTACATAATATTAAAATGTAACGATTTTTATTGTCGAATGCATTGATACAATATGCAGTGGACGTTGGACGGAAAGAGAGTATTATAAAGAGAAAAGTAAAAAGTATATTAGTATTCACTATAATGAATTTTTCATAATTAAAGATAAAAGAATATACAAAAATCAAATATTTTGATAAAGAAAATTACGTTATAGCTAATTTACACAGACACACAGTTATCTATAGATTATATAAGATATTAAGATAGCTCAAGGGTGCGTCGTTTCAGAATATTTGTGCGTGGAATGTAAAAATGTACCAATAGCTAACCATAGTAAGAGTTATTCAATATTCAGCTCCCCTCTATAAATAGGTTCTCTCAAGCTTAAAATTATTATTTAACTTAACAATTATCAATAATTTAAAAATTTAACTTAAAAAATGTATGAAACTGTAAAACCATCAAAATTGTATTATTTGTATTAAAAAAGCGTCTGTCATCAATTATTTCAATAACTAATCGGTAAAACAATAAGAACATTTCCATATAGGATGCAGATGTACACTCTTGTCGCGTAACCCTTAATAATATTATTGTTTTAATTTAAAAAATAAACGTTTCAGTAAATAATTATACTCTGATCAATATTCTTTAATCTTTATGTAATAAAATAGTGATAAAACTGATAACAGCTCAGCGGTAACTTATAATATTGTGATACCATTTATTGTTAATTTATTTGTTCTACCTCGGTCGTAGGACGCATAGGCATAATGTATATTAGGTATTTCAATTTCATATTTGTTTCTGCAGCCGCAATATTGCCCTCTTGTATTTTTGTCACGGCACGGTGTTAACAATAATTATTGATACTTTATTCTTAACGCATCGTATTATGTTTATGACATAATATTATATTATAATGTATTAATATCCCATACACTAGGTTGCCTGGTATATAGTAAGTGGTGTAGTAGTCGTCGTCGGCGTGAGTGAGAAGGGCCAACAGGTATAAAATAGTGGTGGCGGGCGTACGCGTCAAGGGGACTGTCAACGGAGCTCGCTGGAAAATTGCCGGCCCCGATGTCGAGTCGGACGATATAATATTTGAGCGCTGTCAGGCCAATCGCGACCATTCCAACAACACGCCACACGCCGCTCGTCTGCACGTCACGCCACTAACCGGACGTGACAAAGTCGTTTCGGAAGCAACCCGGAAACGTGGTCGACGCGCACCATATAACGATTTCAATACAGTGCCTTGTGCGTTATCAGTAGGTACTACAAAATTAGTAATACATATTTTTGAAGCCCTCTTCAGGAGCGTTTGGTCGTCTCACGCTGACGTGAATTCGCGTGTACAAAGAAAATTATTGGGTGCTGTCCGATAAACACTCCTCATGTAAGTATAGGTTAGGTTAAGCATCTTTAACCGATAAATGAAAAATCGACAATAGGAATCTCCATAAATTAATAATGTTTTCAATGATTTTAAGAGGAATTCACCGTCGCACTCGCATGTGTTGTCTCTGCTTTACACACGTATGACATAGGAGATTTTCGTTCGTTAGTTGCTATAGGGTGCTGTCAGTTTTGATATTAGAGTGAATATTTACCTATTATCAAACTTTTAAGTAACAACATTATCTTTGTTCTCTCGTTGGTTTTTTACGATATTTTAATTTTTAAGTATATAGTTTTAAAATATCGTGAAAAACCAACTAGAGAACACAGATAATGTTGTTACCTACTTAATAGTTTACCTACTTAAGAGTTGGATAATAGGTCAATATTCACTCTAATATCAAAACTGACAGCACCCTATAGCAACTAACGAACGAAAATTTGCTATGTCGTACGTGTGTAAGACGGAGACAACACATGCGGGTGCGTCGTCCTCTTAATGAAAAAACATTATAAATATTTATAATTTTTTTTGACATTGACTTCTTGGTTATTGCATCAATTTACAACATCATATGAAATGCCATGAAGTGCTATTATTGAAGAGCTTCTTCAATCAAGCCAACTATGACCTATTATGTATCCCTCCATTGTGATTATTGTAAATATATTTTCTACAGATTGTACAAATTAAATAAATATGACTAAATATGAAATGTAAAATATATTAGATGCATAGTGTAAGACGTAAGTGCACACCGACACCAATGCACAATGCACATTGCACACTTAGTTACAGATATTATATATTATAGATATATAATATACATGTAGTAGGTATTATGTATATTATTCTAAACTATTATAATATTTGTTATTCATATACAAATTGTTGTCTGCAGTAACGCAATTATTTTAAGTGCAGCTCATTTTACTAAGATTTTTTACCAAACATTTTCCGCCATGAATAAAGTTTGATAGAAGAGTAAGTTATTAAGGGGAATAATAATAATTTACTGTTGTAAAATTAATCAATATAATCATTAAATTCGTACTAGCTAGGTACAACTTACAAACCATTGTTATGATAATAATTAATTTATTAACTAAAGCCGCAATGGAATTATTTAATCGCACAAATTGATCTTTTTGAGTTTAAATAATAGCATACTTATTAATATAACAATTTTTTCAACTATTTTTTGTACAAAACCATCTGTTGAAGATATCACATCATCAGCTGATGACTATGGAGCATAATCAAACAAACTAAATCACTCACTAAACAGTATAAAACGTTATAAACACTTTAACGACTAACCGTCTGTATACGACTAACGCTATTCGTTCTATTTCCACACGCTACACAAACGTCGACCTATATATTTTGCAGACAGTTTTAATACGTGATCAACTATGTCTGCGCCTTGTTCATGTCAAGCTCGGCCAACTCTTAAAACTTTTCCAATTCAATTAACATAATAATAATAATATGTTGTGATATATCGTTATGCCATCAACGCCCGGAACGAAACAATAATAATAAGTACCTACCGTATTATTTAGTCGGATTCTCGGAACTGCACGTCCGATTATCGTTCCGACACGATATTATATAATATTATACAACAACTGTCGACTGCAGTGTCATATTTCCCGGACGTAAACGATCTCGGATGGTCTGATGATGACATTGACAGGGTCTCCGAGGACCAAAGTAATTGTATATATTATTATTATTTACTGTAGGTAGGTACATACAATTCTTATTATATAGGTATACTGTACAGTGTAAAACTTATATAATAATATACATAATATTATATATACTTATGCGGTGTACGATTTCAAGTCCAATGTGTGTGTGTGTGTGTGTGTCTGTGTGTGTGTGCACCTATAGACTTTAGTTGAAATCGAATACTCGCCGCACTGCGAAACTTTTTATATAAAAATATATACAAACACATTATTTATCCGTATATATTATTGTGTGTATAATAATATATGGTGGATCATAGCGTTTTGATGCTCATTTTATACACGTGGACGGGGAAGCTTTTGACGATTTTTCCACGTCGTATTATATTATTCTGTTATTTTCGAGTCAATTTTTTTCTCTTTTTTTTTCTCACTATTTCGCTGTTCAGTGCCGTCGCAGCTTCGGTGTAACAATAAAACAACGTGTTTGACTTTGAATAATATGTTTTTATTAAATTTTTTTTTTTTTTGGCTCCGCGTGACGTTGAAAGTAAATCGAAATAAATATTGAGTCGAGGCGCTCGTAAAAAGCTTTTTACACGTGTCGGCTTGTTTTAGTGTTCCGCTGAAAGAAATAAATGTCATAAGTCTTTTTGCTCGACGTCAATAGCGATTTGACGTGCGTATACAGTAAAGTTATATAAGACAGTATAAAATAACAATAAAAAAAAAAAACTCGGTCTTATATTTCTTTGGCTTGAGGGCGTCTCGAGGCAGGAAAAAAAAAGAAAACAACAAAATAATAACAATATAATATATAATCCCTCCATATATTTTTAAATTATCGGGGACCGGATATTTCCGGGAAATATTTATCCAAACCGTAAAACTTGAAGACAATAAAAATCATTCATAGCGCAATAGTTTTTACACCCCCTTCTTGCAGCAAAGTTTACGCGTTTGTCATGCGGATTGTGGTTATATTTAATCAAATGTCACGGTGTAGACTTCGTAAGTCAGTTGGAATATATTTCTCATAGTTAATGGCTATAAAGTTGTCAATGTGTAAATAAATTACTGCTCGGTGTATGTGTTACACGGGCGATGTGAGAGAATTTAGTACGTAAGAAAATGGCAATAACCGTGAATTTCATATATAGCGCGCTTACTCATAATAGTGGAAATAAACACACTCTATACAATTTATGTGAAAATAGATTGCCGGCTCCTTAAAAGCTTTTACTAAAATACGGAATTTTCCCGAATGTTTTTATTTTATTACGTTCCCGTGCTCTCTTGTTTTAGGAGTACTTAAGTAATATGAATATAACTAAAATTTAAATTTAACATGCGCGTTTTATTACCACACAATATAATTTCTGTCTGCAGTATTATTTTCGGCCGAAGCTTATACATTCTTCTCGCCGCAGGGCCTTTAAAGTGTTGAAATTGATTATGTTCCTGCAATTTGTATTAAAAACTTTGATATTCGTCCACATAAATCATCGGTTTTATGTACAAACTTTTTTTGCAAATATAACATTACGATATTAACGCATATTCTCGTTATTATTCATGTTGATACTTATTTTAATCGCTGAAAATTAATTTTCCAGTGGACATTTATTTTATCAAAACCTATCTTAACCTCACCATACTTGACCGCATTTATAAACCCTTAACAGAAGAGCATCTACAGGGAACAATATAATACATTAAGTTGGCCGGGTGTTTTTATTTAATATTACAGCCATTACGGGGATTAACTAAAATTTATTAAAGGTCGTTTAAACATATTTTTTCATAGTATAACTATATTAAAAATAATACAAGCAACGTCACGTAGGGTGGTTTATACAATATACCTTCTAATTAATAGTATAAATAACATTATATTAATTTATATTTATAGTCAGCGTACGATTTATAAACATAATAATAATAATTGTTCATTGTCAGTGAACTCGAAATTGTAATGTTTTAACAAGTAAATGCGAACACTATAATACATAATATAATAATAATATATTCCATTATAATGATGTCTTGGGGTAGTATGTCACAGTATTTACGATCAAATATTATAATTTACAACTGTTGCTAATCTATAGCGATTGATACCCAATCATTGTTAGTGCAGTGTTATTGGACGAGCAGATTTCAAAACAAATCTATTCATAACGTCATAATAATATTATATGGTCTAGAATATTAAAATCCCCATTATTATACAGAGTCCGGTATAATGGGGTCTAAAATACGGATAAAACGATTGTGCCATAATAATGGCTCCTACTCTTCCTGTCTCTCGCCCACCCCCTCAAAGCATCTAATTTGTTCTCGTGCAGGTATGTTCAATTTTTCAACCATATATAATTATATTTTATTATACCTCTATACATATATTATCATATGTGCATTGCAGTATAACTTATTTACCTAAACTCTAAAGGTACCTGTGACATAATTATAATAAATTATGATCCACGCTGACCTCATTCACCACCGTATACGCACTATATACATTAAATCTACCCTGCATTATTGTAATAATAATATTATTATCGATACGAGTTATCGTTTCGCAAGCGTTCAGCGTTTTATGTATTAATTCGAGGGGCGACCGACCGACGGCGGTAAATTCATTAGTCTGCACGTTACGATAATATTATTGGGTATATTATAATTATTTAAAACCATCATCGTATCATAGTTGCTGGTAATTTAAAAAAATGTTCAGCACGGGGCCTCTATACACGATTTTCTGATGCCTATCTCTCAGCTCATAATATCTATTATTAATTTCAATCGTGTTTTAACAGCAGTCGGCGAGAACGAAATTCAACCACATGTATGTACAACATATAATATTGTACATACTACACATTATTGTGTGTATAATGTACATAGGTATCATAGAACTGTCTATGTCGACACAAGACTTTTTAACAGCATTATGCATTTATGCATTACAAAACATAAATATTACGAGAACGTGAAAATAAAAAGACAATAGAAAACAAGATAAATACTTTATACAATCCTCATCATTCTGCAGTAGTGCAGTATATTATAGTAATATTGTGTATTTGTGCGTGGCGTGTATATTGTCGTATCGAATAGCCGATAACTCGATTTGCCGACACATTGTTTATAGTTGAAAATGAATTGTTCTAGCCCGATCTGCCGTCACCCAATTAACTTGTTTCGCCTACGCGTAAACCGGCATCTGGTATAATAATGGTAAAGTTCCAATTCACCGACAGATCGTAATTTCACAGAATGCAAAAATATTTTTTATGTGGATATCCATACCTTATAATATTACTATCTACAATAAAAAATATTGATAAAACTACATTGTGATATTAGTGTCAGCAAGAACCAAAAAACACCTTGAGGTATGAGACATGAGTGGTATGACGTGTCTTCAAAATCTGAAATTCAACCACTCATAAACAATGTAAGCAGCTTTACGGTCAACTTTTTGTTAAATTCCATTAAAGCATATTTTATGAGGAACCTTTTATTATATTTTCAAACTTTAGGTTTGAATATTAAAATTTACATGATTATGAATATTTAATTACAAAATAATTTGCAATTTTTTACAATTTTGACAAATATCAACATTTCAACTTCAAACACTCATAAAAAATTACTGTGGATTTACACTCAAGTTGTTTTCAACTCCAATACTAACAAGTAACAACCGGTGATATTGAACTGAGTCCATGCTACTTTGAACGTTATTTCTAACTCATGAGAACCCTTTTATTTAATTTAAAAATAAAGCTCGTCATTGTAAAAAGTAAATTCATCGCTCCGCTCAAAATTTAAAACTAGAAGAAACTTTATCATTTTTAAATTAGAGGTATGACATTAGCGTTATATATTTGAATGTCACAAATCATAATAATACCTTTACTATATGTACATTTCAAATTTCAGGCTACAAAATTGTAGGATTTATGTAACGGAGTACTTTGACGCAAAAGTGTTCCATTTTCGTCTTGAAAACCGAAGCACTGCAGAAGATAAAAACAGTATAATGTATATGCATAGATAGTTGACTTGAACAATGTTCATCTGACTTTAATTCGTATAAGAAAGACCTGAAGTATTGCCATCAGGAGTCAGAATCAACATACCAGACACCCTTCAAACCCAGCAAGCTACGATGGCCATTATCAACAGAAAAAATGACGTAATAATCACAGAATATTCTGTATAATAACCCAGTAGATAATCTATAATATAAAAATGAATCGCTGATAGGTATACCGATACGTCGCGTATTGTTATTTTATTTACGAGACATAAATAAACACGTTTTTGTGTGTTCACATATTGTGTGCAAGAGAAGCAATGAAAAATTGTTCACACATAATTGAAATAGATCACTCCAATTTGATTTGGATCAATCAACCAGCTGCATTCGTGCGGCACCGTCAACGCTGGTCTTTAATCTGGTACAATTAGGTCAACCAGGGCCAGTGGCTCAACAGGTAAGCTTGGCTCCCTGTGTTACCACTGGTACCCATGGTCCATCCACCCCCACCTTCACACTCTATCATTAGAGCGTCGCCATCATTGATGGCGGACGGCGCCGTCTGCACCTCCACCACCACATTCAACACCAATTTACTCCGACGTGTGTGTCACAAAAGACATCGCCATCGAGAAGCTCTTCATCAGTGTACACGGAAAATACTTTTCTCGTATTCAGATTACGACAGAAATCCTCAAATCAGTCGTCATCAAGCCGCCCGGAGAGAGGAAGATAAAAAACCCGGTTTCGGTGTTGGAGTAAAATTTGATAGAATAAATATTAAACATGGTACCCAGATAATGTTCCAATGCATACAGTGTTCATGTTGGTAAGATATGTAATTGTTGATAATAATCAAAACTTGATAAATATTGTACAAATTCATTTTGAAATCATTTCAATAACACAAATACAATATAATAATTATTAATTATAACTATTTGTGTTTATACAAATATTGTCATCTAGCCTCCCCCTCCTACCACAAGAAATTTTTAATTTTACGTAAACTCTAAAAGAGTGAAAATTATGAAAATAATCGTGCAAATGCATGCTAATTAATTGCATAAGAAAATGTTAAATATTTTGTATGTGGAGCTAGGGCTGGTAAGATAATTGTACGTAAAATTATAATATTAATAAATTATCCGTCAAATAACCTATTAGAAATGATAATAACTGATATTTTGACGTTTATCGATTATGCGTCGTTCATATTTTATTTACTCGTTCATAATAGTAGCCATCTGCCCATCTCCTCGCACTCTATCCCCCGAGAACGTGCACCTATTATAATATCAGCTTCGTATAATAATTATAATATGATATCGGAGAGAAAGGGAGAAAACGTATTTGATACAACAGCCCCCGAGGAGGAAAACCCACCGAATAAAGTATATGTTATTAAGTCGGCAACGCTTCGGCGATAATAACACCGTATCAGAAATAAAAAGAACCAAACAAAACAAAAACCTATAATAATAACCCCGCGACGACGCCATAATACGCGTGGAAAATAATATTATGTCTTGCGGTTTTGTACTCGAGCTTTGAGTAACAACATAATTACACCACCGCATCGGTGGGCGCGCATGCGTGCCACTTACAATGTGCGCGTATTATATTATTATATCGGGGAAAACAACATTGTATGATAATGATATTGTAATCGTACACACAGCTTGGTGTGTTTTATATAATTATAATATTATTATGCATACGATCGCACTGGATGTTGACATAGATAATCGTTATGAGTATAATAACGAGAGACTCGGCGCTGCGGTTTCATCGATGTAACCAGGCAACGTGATATTTTGGTGTGTAGCCGCATACTAAAATATACAAATATCAAATGAGAGGAAATGGCTCGCTTTTCCACAATTCGGTACCTACTTTTTTTTTATCCGTATGGCAAGTGTCATATGGTCCTGATAAGGACCTTTTTGCATGTTACTGTGTAGGCTGGGTAACAGCGCCTTGGTGGTGGTATTAGATGCGTATAAAAAAAAGAACTTCTTGCTTTTAAGCTGTCTGTTCTGGATTCTTAACGCATGCAGGGAGGGCCACTAGCAGGCTACCACCATCTTCCCCAGTAGTACCAGTGGTACCTACTAAAAAATAACAATAGCAAATTAATGTGGGATTTTTTTCCATCTACAGCGTATGCTGCACATTCTGATAGTCGCGTGGACAATAAAAGTAGAAAGACTCCCACCCCTCCTTATTAATCAAACACGCGCATCCAGAGCCTTGTTAAATAAAAAGGTACCTACCGATTATAATACTAATAAACAGGATGGGGCTGGTAAAAATAATTAATATGCCACAAGGTACCACAAGGACATTAGCGGTACAGTGGTAGGTACAACATTTAAGATAAAAATCAGTGTATACAATTCATATGTATATACTATATACCCATATTATAGGGTGATAGAAAAAGTTTACATTGGCTGTACATAAGGCTGTAACTTGTAAGAGAGTAAAACTCTAAATGAAGTTACATGAGATATAATTTTTTTAATAATTTTGATACAATGTAATTATGGTGCTGGGTAGTGCTAAATGTGCATGTCACATTGACACATCATTTTGGTTTAAAATTGTTTTACTCATTTGATTATGTATTGCTTTTTGTTTCAGAGATTTGAGTTTGGGAACATTTTAGGCGTCATAGGTTTATCAAAAATCATATATTTTGTTTTAGTGTAAATATCAATGTTTTAGTATATAATATTATCTTAGTAAACCATAATTTTATTTAACTTATACTATTGGGGAAACAGATTAACAAAACGTTCTCTGGTGGAAACAATTTATACCTTCCGATTCGGGGTGTATAGATATAGTTTTATATTGGTTATTTTACTTTTTATAATAAATTAATTTTGGTATCGAAACTTTATACGATTTTATAGCTAACTGTATACGTTGGTAAGTACAATTTCTACTAATATTATCAAATACATTTAAATACACTTCACTTAAAGCAAAATTTTTGCGAAATGTCGGAAAAATATATACAATCTCACGACTCCACGTAGGGGGAAACCCGCCATCAGTAAGATAGGCATCAACAGCGCTCCCAGTGTCAATCTGTCTTCCCAATAGGTAACCTTTGTATGCGATAATTTAGAAAATGTATAATTAGCTTATGAAATTTACATTTGTAAATAATATGTTAAATATTAAAATACATATAATATTATCTATTCTATACATACAATAAAAAAATATAATATACTTTTTTAACCAAATTTAAATAAACTTAAAACTCTTATTATAAATAACAAATAGAACGAATGAGTGAATAATTTTACCCTAAAATTATATAACACAGTTGTTATATAATATATAAAATATTTAATATTTACTTCAAAATATTGGCCACCTCCACACGTTACCAATAAGTATATTATATTATAGCCATGTTATTATGTGTGTTACTTATGCTAGTGATATTATGTATTGTCTGTATTGATACCTATGAAATGTATTGATAGTTATAATTTCGCTTAGTGACGAATAAGAGGTTAATAATAGGTATATTAGGAATATTGTGGTCTATAATTATAGTGTTATAAATTATAATGTTCCTGGATAACTTTTGGTGAATTTTTTTTAGGAAAAAAAGTGTAAACAGATAAAATAATGATAACAGAAAACAAATATTATTAAGCCAATTTCATATCTATAAAATACTTAAAATTTTTTTTAAATATTCCTAGATATTAAGGGGGGCTGCAACTCCTTCAACTACACGCATAAATACGTTGATGTTCAAACAAATGATAATAATATATGGTTTAGATTTAGCGATTCACACAAGATAATGATTTACGATGTAACGCACAAGAAAAGGCACTCTACAGACCAGTGGTATTGTCGACTGATAAGTCTTAAAACTTTAAAAGTTAAAATATTATTAAAGGAATATTATTATAATCACTGTACAGTGTACACTCAGGTGAGAATAATATCATATTATTCTGAAAAGGTAGGATACCTAATTTCGTACACCTATAAAAAGAATATTGATGGAAATGTAATTGTAAACTTGTTTTACATCTAAGCAAAATTAACAAAATTAAATTAGTTTACAATTTAAATTGGTAGGTACCGTTAAGTTTAATTAATAGTTAGTTACTTCGATTATATTGAATAATTCTGAATACTCTTCACATTCAGATAAGTACCTCCTACAACAAATATAAGTTATAACTAATATAAAGACATACATATTGTATTATTGTACTTACATCAAAATTTATAATTACATAATATGAAATCAATAATTGACCAAATACACATTATTTTATAAACGCATCAGGCGAAAACTATGTTACAAAAATAACCACTGCTATAGACACCGTGCAGAAAGACAACTAACGCTCTGGGGAGACAACTCGCGTACTACTTGGTAGCGACGATTATACGCGCAATATTAGGCCCATTCATAAAATCGTCAACAACCTCCCCCCTCCCCCTCCCCCCAAAGGTTTTAGTAATTTTTAATAAATGTAGGTAAATTTTACCGGGTAAAATCGAAAAATGAGCAATCAAATTGTAGTTTATAAAATATATACAACTCACACTCCACACACATATATATTATGATTATAATATTTAATTTGTAGTGCCTACCTATTTAATAGGCAAAGAATTATTTTCGTTGGCACTTTTGCAGTATTACCTATTGCGTTAACTGTAAAATATTCAACTACTTTAATATTTTAAGTATGGGTACTTATCAGTAATAACAATATAAATTATAATCATAGCCATAATAGAATGTCTATGGACTATGATTATAATATTGAAAAATGATGAGCATAATATGTTATAAATAGAACATGAAATTAGCTAAAATAACAACAATATTATTATCATACCTTGTTATTAATTATTTTGTTATATTTTTTAAATTAAAATTGTAATTGTTTTACATTTAATTACCTATAATTGCAAATCACTTCACAAATGGCTGATGTAATTATTAGATGTGGTTTTCAATCTGTGTTGTGTAATTTTGAATTTCCTAACAATAAAGGGCAAAAGTTAGTTGAAAGTGGGCATTTGTTTGATGTCAAAGAAATAAAACCTAAGCAAACCAAACATGTTGCTTCTAGAATAAACGGACATTGTATTAGACAAACTTCTGTGTCATCTAACCCATGGCAAGTTACTCTTGAAGTAAGTTGAAAATTATTTTTAAAACATACTAAATTAAATATTTAAAATTATTGTTTAATTGGTTATACCTACGTTTAATTATAATAATAACAATATTATTCCCCATAAATTATAGTATTTTTTTTTATTTATTAGATTGATTCGAGCAGACGAGTGAATCATACATCATGTGACTGTCCTGCAGGGGCAGGCGGAAAATGTAAGCACATATGTGCACTGATATACTACATTAATAATGAACAAAATATTTCAAAAACAGATTTACCGCAGCAATGGGGCAAACCATCGAAAGTGGGTGAACTAAAATATAAGAAAGGAAAAACCATCGAAGAACTATTTCCACGTAAGAAACAAAAAACAGCTATAGATGTTGTAGAGCCTGTAAGTCATGCAGATCTAATTTCAAAATATAATATTTTAAATATTCCATCTAGCTTTAGTAAACTTTTAAAAGAAGAAAGCCTTACTATAGTTGAAAGGGAGTGTAAACAAATTTTAAATAATATTATTGTCCAAGTTGAACAAAGTATTACACATAGTTTAAACCAAAAACATTTTTCAACCATAATACTTAACCAAAATGAACGATTCACAAATAATATTTTTTACCTAAAATTTCCACTTAATTTCAAAGAAAATGATTTTTACATAAAAAACATTGCTTTATCATCTGAAACTTGTTTAAATATCTATAATGAAACCATGGCTCAGTCATTATCAGATATTTGGAAAGTTTGTAGGCATTTCCGTATTTCAGCAAGTGTTAAGGCGCATAAAATTAAAACATGCAGGGATTGGACATCTGTTGGCCTCAACAAGCTTGCAGACACTCTTATAAAAGAAACTAATTTAGGTAAAACTGGTAGTATTAATGTCAAATATGGTCAAGATACTGAGCTTGCAGCTTTTGAAAAATATCAAGAGTTAAATGAAGTAGAGGTACTAAAAGCTGGACTAATTATTCATTGTAAAACGCCATGGGTTTGTGCGAGCCCTGATGGCCTTGTTCTCCAGAATGGAGAAATTTACAAAATTCTTGAGATAAAATGTCCTATTTCATGTAAAAATAAACAATTAATTGAAAACAATGTGCCTAATTTAAAATACTTACATATTATAAAAGGTAAAATTGAGTTAAAAAGATCTTCTTTATATTACACTCAAGTTCAACTATTGATGTACTGTTCAGGTTTAAAATTCTGTGATTTATTTATTTATAATACCATTACACCAATTTTATTAACTATTAATCAAGATGATGAATTTATGAGGTCTCTGTTGCCTAAAATTGAATATTTTTATTTTTATTTTTACTTACCAAAATTGGCCAAAGGTATTTAAATTGTTAATAATTGGTACATAATCATATGTTTAATAATATTTTTTTTTCATGTGAACTTGTTATTTTGTTTTTTTTGTTTAAAATAAAGTGTTACAATACAAATGTTGATTATGTTCATTTCATGTTTATATTAATTTACAGCAATACAAATTATTATAAATTGTTTGTTTTAATGTTTAAAAATATAATATGATAAAGTGCTCATATAGACAGTAAAAAAAAAAAATACAAATTAAAAGTAACATAAATAGTAGTTATTGTTATTTATACTAGTATGTTTTACATTGTAGTATTGTTTCTCAATTTAGTATATAAGAATGTGAAAAAATATATTACAAAATCATAATGTTTATTATCTTATGAATTAAACCGAGTTACTGTTTAATGATTGGTGGTTGTAAATTGGTTAAAGAACAGCAAATATGCATTATATCATCAATATAAGGGAGCAACTCTATTTGAATTTTATTTAATATATTAAATGTTTTAAGCCTGGCAAAGAATCTCTCAATGTGTATTCTGACACTTGCAACAGAATAAGTTTCTATAACTTCCTCTTCACTAAACCTACCATTGTGTAAGATTGGGGGCATAATTAAAATAGAACTATTATCTTCACAATTCGTTTTAATACCTGGAAACCCCTTATCGGCTAAAACTTGGTCACCTGGTTCTAGTTTTGAAAGAAATCCACTGTCGTTAGTGATAAATGTATCACTAGAACGTCCACCATAACATTTAGACAGAAAGCTAATAGCACCATTTGGTGTTATACTAACAAGGCATTTTATGGTGTAAGCACTCTTATACCTTGAGTACATGCATACTCTTTGTTCAACTGTTGGAGGCTGCTCTACTTTTATTTCTGTACAGTCTATGATACAACGGCAGTTTGGATAATTTTTTTTGAAAGCATAGGGGAGAGTTTCTGAGATAGTTTCTTTACTAGGCCAAAATATAAAATGTTTAGTTTTTTCACATAAGATGGACAGTAAGTTTATAAAAATTCTGCTGGCAGTGGTACGATGAATATTAAATAAAACTCCAAGAGCTGAAAAAGTAACACCAAGTTTTAGTTTCATTAAAAACAGTAGAAGCTTATTATTGTTTGTTAAGTTACTATTTATACCTACATCTGGAAGCATATTTAAAAGTATGTTAAAAACAGCGTACGAAGACCCAGTCAAATCTTTTAAAGAATTCTCATTTTTTACAGATTCAAAACCATGAAACTTTTCACAGCTTAAACATGAACTGAAGTGTTCAGAACTAGGACCACAAGACTTATCATTAACATTTTTTTTTTGCCCAAGAATAAAATTATTTGGTGTAGTTATTGAAGTACTACTACAGTTGTCATTAAAAAAGGAACACTCAAATGAAAATTCTTTTACATCTGAAACATCTAACAAAACTTGTACTCCTACATGATTTACAATATCATTTGATTGACTTTGGTTGGCATCTGCATTACATTCAACACTAGTTATAGTGGACTGTGCCACAGCTTCACGGCTGCAAAAACGTTGATATCTGGAGTAATGTTGATTACTGTTAACCTTCTGATTTTTGTATGCAGTTGGAAAAATGGTAGGAATATAAGCAGGACTATTTGGATGTCTTATTGGCTTATTTCCAACGAAATGGTCACTACAAATAACTGTATTGGCTGTAGGTATCCATGGTGTTCCATCAATGCTACAGAATACAGATACACACAAATTATTGATAGAGAAATTAAAAGTACTAGAATATTAGCACAATATGGAAGACAAAAACAATACTAACTTCATTCTTTTAATACTTTTTACCCACTTTTCTTTAAGTTCTTTTTCATGTTGTCGGTTTGGTAAGTTAAATAATTTATGACCAGTTCGATATGTATTACTACAGTTCACAACACAACACATTTTTTGACCACTTTTCTTTTTATTTTTGCTCATTATTAAAATTAAGTTCAAATAAAACAATACGAATAAACAAATAGTATAAGCTAAAGGGCCAATTCGTTAATAAAAAAAGGTACCTTACAAGTTTTACAAACCACAAAACTACGAAAATTATCTGAGGGAAGAAATTTGTTTGTATTGAAGAGTATTGAGTATAAAACTATTGCTACCAACTTGTTTGTAAATTGTCCACTAGGCGGCGCCGTTTTCCGTTGTCTGCACGGTGTCTATAAGTTCTTGATGGATGTCACTGAAATTATAATTATTTTACGTTATACGATTACGTAAAGTTTTGCGACAACATCTCGAAGATAATAATATAAGTAATATAAATAATTAAATAATATAAGTCTTGTATAATGTATATACTATATACCTTGCCTTCGTACGTTTGCGAGTACCTATATCGACATTTAAGACCCTATGAAACGTTTCAATAATTTTCCGAGAGAGGCGCTTCAAATTAACAATCGGTCATTTGTCACCCATATTAAAATTGACAAATTATTAAATCAGTGTCCAGATTTTTAAAAGTTAAAATATTATGCTGATTGCTGATATTAGGAAAAAAAAATATTACGATTATTAATTAATTATAATTTATAATGCACATGTTCCTACTCGCACTAGGACGCTTCTACGACCGTTGTTTGCAATCATTTTAAATTGTATAGTTAAACGTGTAATATTGTAATATGCATATAAGCTTAATACGGTGCGGCGTGGTGTTTAAAACTTAAAAATATGGATTTGTGAAATCTGAGCTGAGCATTGAATAGTGGTGCAGTTCAAGTGGCTGTACGAAATCGGAATAAATATTATTATTTATTACCTATATTAATTATTATAATATGCTGTATGAAATGTATTATTATAGCCTAATATTTAAATTACTTATTTTATCATTATTACCGTCGGATGATTTCCTCATCGCGGTATGTCCGAGTATGATCCATTGATTTATCAAATTTTCTTGCAGTAAAATATTATTATAATGGTTCTCATTGTAAATTATTTAGTTTTAAATAATAACAATACTAATAATTATACAGTTTATTATTGCTGTAGCGTATTTTGTTTATCATGTAATAAAACAAATGCTAATTTGAAAAACGATCGCTATACGTCATTTATATCGTGTAAACAACTGAATTGTACAGGTATTCGTTAAAACAATATTTGAACTCGAGCAAACTGTAAATATTTAATTGACAAAAATATATTAATAGTTCACACATTTCAATTTTTGAAATATCTACCTAATCATCTAAATAGTATTCGATACCAGATATTCTATCAATGAAACACGACGAGACAGAAGTTATAATAATGTTTACATAAATGTACTCATGTTAATTACAAATAATTTAGTTTGAATGCTTGTAAAAGTTTGTATACAAATTACGTATACACTTAGGTATCAAAACTACATAAATAGGTAATTGAACTACGTATTGATGATTAATAATATAAACTACATAATATTATTAATCGTGGAGTATAACTATCCCTAGGTATCTATTTTATAATATGAATATAATATGATATAGAATTGTAGTTGAATCAACAATTTATTGTACGTGGTCATGAATACAATTATTTTATTAAAGGCAGCCCCATGAATAATTAAAAGGGATTAAAAAAACACGAAAAAGAAAACGTAAAAGTTTTAAGTAGGTAACTTATATATCATATATTTTAGTTTTATAACATCAACTTCAATTTATACGTATAATATTATGAAGTCCTTCATGATGTTTGACTTTTTTTTATTTCTGCTACTGACATGGTCAACAATTGTGGTTGCATTTTTCTTTTTTTCATCTAATGAAAAACAATAAAATGCGGCAATAAAATATTTCGAGAGAACCGAAGTGCAAATAAAAAATGTAAAATTGTAAACCATTTTCTGCGTGGACGGCTTTTAAGCACATGAAATGTTCAACTCACCTGTAAATGTATAAATAAAAAAAAATTTGTTTTTGTCTTAGGCATCTTTATACAATATATAATAGCAATTAGCAACAAAAGACATTCCAATCAACTTCAATATTTTTTACGCTTTCAAAAGCGTATATTATTATCATTTGAATTTTTATGATATACTATTATTATAAGAAAAAAGTTACCGATTGTTTTCCCATAATAGCCGTTGTAAAAAAAAGAATAGGTAATTACATCACGTAATCCAATGAAAAAATAAAGTCAGTAACTCGTCGTTAAAACTTCACTACCTACGCATACAAATGCTAAAATGTTTTTTTCTCATCATTACTTTTGTTGTTGCCATTCGGTATTCCGAACGCTTTAATATAATCAGTAGAACATTTCAAGTCTATTAAATGAAATCTAATATTCATTAAATAAACGGAACTAAAATGTCCGTCTTGAAGTGTGTACAGCACAATTGATTGATTGATTGACGTGGTGTTTTGGTTCCATCAGTAAGTTGTCCGCCTTGTGTGCTTTCTATTTGCGAACTTCTATTATTATTTCTTTCGACTTGTCCGAATGTTTGTAGGCATTTCCATTCAATTATATTCATTCATTATTGATATTATGCATATATATTATATATATATATTTATACTTGCACGTCAGTTTATTTTGTTGTTGTTTGTGGACAAGACTCGAGTTGACACCATTGTTCATTCAAAGAGATGTTAATTTATTCGTATACAATAATATCGCCATAAATAAAGTCAAATAGCATTACGTTTGTACAAGCAAGTAGAATTTATTGCTTTCCGAGTTTTATGTTTAGCTACCAAGGCTTTCAAACAAACACAATACTTACGTCCCATAAAAGTAAATTGGTTGTCATGTTGTCTAATAATTCAAAAAAACTTGATTGCGTGCGCCCACCTCGAGTTCTCAGTTAGTTTTACATGTTGACGTTTATGTCAAAAGTATCTGTATTGTACATTTAAAAAAAAAAAAAATAACAACACGCTACTCGGATATAATATGCGCGTAGGACGTTATAATAATATATTATTATTATGTTTGTACGATATTGATAATCGATAATGTTTTCGAGACACATAATATTACTTATAATACTACTACGTTACGCCGACAACCCTCGATTATATTATTATCATTAATATTATTGGACATGAGAAATACAGACTGCGGTGGCGAGTAATATCATTATAAATAATCGTGTATGGTACCTATATAATGTTGAACCGTTTGAAGATTTCTCATAGTAATAATATATTATTTCAAACTTAACTACAGTACATAATGATATATGCACGTCAGTACGTCACGGTCACATACCATACATATCAAAATTGTATATAATTGTATATAAATAATATATAATAAATAATACATATTATGCATATTGCATACGTAACGAACCTGCGTTTGACAGTAATAGGTACTATTATTATAACGTGTGTTGGTTGATATCATATACATTATACATAGTACAACATATTATACATTACATAGTGATTCTTTTAAAATTAAACACTCACAATTTCAAAAATGTATTTTTCATTCAAGAATTTCAAGCCAGGTTCATGCAATTCTTAAATAATTTATTGTATGTTGATATTATTTTATTAATCCAAAGTGAAATAATTTTTAAATTTTGATTTATTTAGTATTTACCTATATTATATTATTTAAATTTTCATAATCTGAAGTAGAATATTTTTCTAAAATGTTTATGCATAAATGTTAAACCGATTACCGATATCAATTTATAGTTTTTTACAATTAAGTAATAATTATAAAAATCATCAAAATATTAGTAGAGTAGTGTCACACAGTGGTGTAAAACTGTAGGTGATGGATATTGTGCGGACTAGTCAGTTATCCCATACCTAACACTTTATTAACCACTTTATTTAAACTTTAATGAAGGTATAGAAAAAAACATAAATTAAATTTTTTGTAGTTAGTACTTATACAATTTTAGGAAAGTATTCTGGACTCATAGGCGCAACTAGGGGGGTGCTAGGGGGACTTTAGCACCCCCAGACTAAAAATTAGCACCCCCAAAAATTCAAAGTCAAATCCTTGATTTGTAAGCTGTAGGTATTTCATTATTGTACCTACCTATTCTGTTCAAATTTTTATTTTAGAATAATTTATTTATATTTAATGTTTCGAAGATAGTTATATTAGATGACAACATAGTTTGTCATGAGGTCTACAATATAATATCATGATAGCCGATAGGTAAGGTATATTGCATTGGGAATTTGGTTGTGTTAATAGTTATTTTTAAACTGTTATATCTACGTAATCCGCTACCCGTATGTTTTCCATTATATGCGTTATCGTTATAAATTATAAATATAACTAATAACATTACACAACAGTCGACGAGACGACGACACACGTTATACAGACATAAAGTACCCAAAACTTGAACTGCCAACAGGTAACAGTATTCCGTCTCCGTAAATCTGAATTGATAGGTATTTAAAATGTTTAGTATTTTTAAAAAACGGAAACCTAAAGCTGATATTGACGATCCTGGCATGGTTGACATTTCTACTAATAGTACTACTCATACAAGTGATACAACTCTTGATTTGGCCGATTTGGGAAATAAAGATTCCGGCCCATGTCGTCCTATACTTACAGTAAGATTTATTCTGTTTACATATAAAAACTTAATAATTCGTTTTATGAGTTTTTTTTAAATAAATAAAATAAAATAATAATAATAAAACTATAATAAGGTGTTTAATATTTTTCTGATTAATTTTATTATTATTTATTAATTAGGAATATAAAAAAATTAAATTTGGAACACAACAAAGATCGTTTCGAAGCCAATGGTACAATGAATGTGATTGGCTAGAATACAGTGTTCAGCGTAACGCTGCATTCTGATTTGTTTGCCGAACTTTCGGTTCAGAAAATTCAGGTGAAAATATATGGATTAAATCTGGGTTCAATAATTGGCAAAAGGTAAGTAGTTTATTTTGAAGTGTAATAGTATATGTATTTTTACAAATAAAATAATTAAAAAATAAAAATTATTCAAAAACTTAAACTTCGCTAGAATAACTTAGTGTGTTAGACGTTAGTATTGAATACTAAATTTGTATCATGATTAATATAATCGACCACATTTTTTTCAGTTTCTTGTAAAATCAAAAAAACATTCTTCTACCAGTACTCATTTGACTAATTTATCAAAAATGTGTGCATATAAAAGTAGTTTAAAGACAGGATCTGTTGTGACACAACTATCTAGCGCTCATAAAAAACAAGTTGAAATTAATCGCAAATACATGTCTAGTTTAATTGATGTTGTGTTATACCTTGCTAAGCAAGGCATAGCATTTAGAGGACATAATGAAAATTTAGATTCTTTAAATCAAGGTACATTTAATATTTATAATGTTATTATTTATTAATAAAATTAATATTTTCTTGTAATAATATAAATACAATTTTAGGTAATTATAAGGAAATGTGCCATATGGTATTTTCAAAGTTCATGCCAGATTTGAAAAATGTATATGAGAATAAAATTAACCATACCAGTTGGAAAGTGCAGGACGAAATTATTAAAATAAGTGCTGACCTAATTAAAGAAATTATTGTTGAGGAAATTGTTGTTTCTGGGAATTTTGCACTTATGGTTGATGAAGCCAGGTACAATATATTTCACCATTGTAATATTTATAATAGTCATATATACCTATATTTTGATCAAATTAATATTTTTTAAATGTAAATATATATTTGTCCACAGGTCCCATAAAGAAGAACAGTTATCTGTATGTGTGCGGTATGCTGTTGGTCTTGAGGCACGTGAAAGATTTTTGCAATTCATAGATGTTTCTAATGGACAAACTGCCAACCATATTATTTCTGCTGTTTTTAATTGTTTTCAAAATTTAAGTATTAATATCAATACATTAAATATTGTTGCTCAGTCTTATGATGGTGCCAGCGTAATGGCTGGACACCTTGGAGGTGTCCAGGCAAAAATTAAACAACAATTTCCATGTGCCATATACACACACTGTATGGCACACAGATTAAATTTGATTGTTGTGGATATGTGTAAAGGAATAAAGGTATTAATTAGTTTAAGATAATAAAAATAATAATAATAATAATAAAATAATAATCAAACAATAATTCATTGAAGTATTTTTAACAGAATGCCTATACGGCTATACCTGTAGTAAAATAATAAAATTTTTATCATATAATTATATAATCTGTATTAACATTTATAGAGAGCTCGAAGTATTTTTAATACTTTAGAAATGGTTTATGTTCATTTCTCTCGACCATCCAACAATGCTAAACTCATTGAAGTTCAATCTAAACTAGGTTTAAAAAAAGGAAATGTTCTCAGGATATGCGATACAAGATGGGTATGTCGCTATAAAAATTGCGAGTCGATGATAAAAAATTACTCATCAATATTAGAATTTTTAAAGAATGAAGTTGAAGCACAAGTGGACAAAGATGCTATTGAAGCTATCGGTAATTGAAAAAAAATTATGTAATGTAATTATAATTTGATACATTATTTTTAATTGTTGAATTTTTTTCTTAATTATAATTTTAGGTATTCTCGGTCAAATACAAAACTGTGCTTTTTTATTGGAGTTACTCTATTGAAAGACATTCTTGGTATCATTAATATAATAAGTGTCACATTACAATCTAAAAATGCCACTTTAGGAAAAGCAAAAAGCATTATCAATGGAAGTATACAAAGTATTGAAAAATTACGTTCTGACATTGAATTTTCTACATTTTGGCAAAAAATTACATCTTTAGCTGAAGAGAATGATATAACCCTTGAAGTACCACACAAAGGTAAATATTAGATTAACTGTAAACCTTTGTAAAATCTAAAGGTTTTTCTTAAATAAGTTTTAACTTTATGTGTGAAATACATTTCTTAGACATTCATATGTAATAATTATTAATTAACAATACCATCAAAACAAAATTCATGTTCACAAAAATCAAAATTTAAATACATATAACAGTAATTTAATTTTAAGTTACTAATAAAAAATGTATTTAATGATTAGGAAGAAAACGGATAAGAACACAACCGAAATCTTTGAACAATTTTTACTTACAATTAACAACTGGAGAAGAAAATGAACCAAATATTACACAATCTGTTGAAGACTATTGGAGACAAAATTTATACTATCCAATAATTGATTCTATAATCGTTAATTTAAAATATAGGTTCTCTGAAGAAAGTTTATCTATGGCTTGCTCCGTTGATAATTTTATGAATATGAACTATGAAGGAAGCTTAGAGTTCATAAATAACTATAAAGTAAAATTGATATAATATTAAATACAATTTCAATATTGAATTCAATTTTTTTTTCAGTAGTGTAGTTTAAGTTACTATAACTTTAATATTTTTATTATTTTTACTATTCAATTTCAGAATGTGACAAAAGTTTAAATCGATTTATTAAAAGCTGAAATGATGGTTTTCAAAAACTGTTTGCCACCAGATTTCAATTTTGATGACATTAAAGGAAAAATAAATAAAGAAGCTTTTCCTAACTTGTATAAGCTACTTCAAATTGCAATTACAATCCCAATAAGTTCTGCAACTTGTGAACGTAGTTTTTCTAGTATGAGACGTATCAAAAATTGGCTAAGAACAAGTATGTTGCAGCAGCGCTTTAGTGACTTGTCAATTTTAAATATTGAGAGGGATTTATCAAATAAAATACAAACGGAAACAGTGTTAGATAGATATAACACAAAAACCAGGAAAATTGTTTTAAAATAATAGATTATAATATGTTATCTAAATAGTTGTTATTAGTTATTGTAATTAATTATTAATTATAATGTTTTTAGTGATTGTTCCTTAATATTAATCATTATCAAAATATCAAATGTGTTATCATATAAATTAATATAAATATGAAGTTGAGTTATAAAAGCATGTTGTTAATAGCTTTGAAGTTGTGTGTTGGTGGGGGAAGCCCCCCACGGGTTACCAAGGTATACTAAATTTTAGCACCCCTTAAATTGCAGGTCTAGTTGCGCCTATGATTATTCTGGTCCAGTTATGGAATTATAAACATTATAGGTTGGCATTTAGAAACCAAAAGTGTATGGTGAAGATTGCAGGACAAATAAAAGTAAGTGTAATTAATGCTAATACACAACATGATAAGAATTGAATGTTTCTTAAAATTGAATTCACGAAATAATTAGTGTTTATTGTTAAACAAATTAATGTCTGTACCTATCATATTATATTCTTACTATATACACTACCTATACATAGTATAATATAATATAATATTTCTATCATATAAACATTGTATTGTAGCCTGTAGGTAGTAGGTACTCGGTTTTCGAACTGAAGAACTATCTAATTTTCTGATAAATGCTTAAATGTCTAATGTGCATATAATAATGAATATCTGTGATATAATTGCCTAAAAACATATTGTAATATTCCAGTTAAACGGCAAAAACATTTCGGAACTACAAACGCACATTACTTCCATAATATTAGATATTTATTTACACGTCTTTGGCTTTTACGATTTTCCAAGATCACTGTTCGTACTTCGTCCGTCCACTGCCATTGGAAAATGGTGCTACTAGAACTAAACGTTTAATCCAGATAGCGGACAGGTGTGCGAATGAATGACTGACACTGTAGCAGCGCTTGAGTGCTCTGTATGATTCATAAGGGATGTATATTGTCTTTTATAGACTTCTGGACGTTACACCTCACTCTAACCACACCTTACATCAACATAACAATCACATTAATAAAATGCACCATTGCATACATATTACAAATATTCGAAAATATTAGTTTTTAAATTTTAAATACGTAATATACATAATGTGTAATGTTTGGTTGTTACGAGTATGTACCTACCTATATTATGTATATGCAGTGGCGGCGCCAGGAATTTTATCTTGGGGGGGCCCATTGGTGGCCTTTGAAAATTTGGTAGGGCCAAAAAAGTCCCAATTCGTTGTCTTTTTCCCATTCATAGGCTCAGTATAGGGTAGGGGGCTTACACACTATCTATTGTAAAGACTGTGTTGCATATACTAAGTTTTCATATAATTATTGGTTTTCATTTTAATTGATAATAAATATCATATAGGTATAGGTATATTATTTAATATTTACACACTTAAACATTAGATAACATTTTCAACAAACTTACATAAACAATGAGTAGGTACTTTATTATAATATAGGTAATACACAAATTACATTTAACATACAACTATCCTCAGTTTCAATATGACCCCGAAATGCACTACCTTGTATAGCAAGCATTCTTAGAGAAATAATTATAGCTTCCAAATATTTCCTATTTTCAACAACTATTTGAGCATGATGATCACCTAATTGAGATAATACTGATGTTTTGTTAGTTTTATTTTTTTTATAATCGATCCAAGTAACAGCATTTTGTTTATGGTCTTCAGAATTATCATGCTTGTATAATCCTTTATTATTTGATAGTGCATTTTTCCAATTTTTATACCCAGTGCTTTTAAAAATATTATCACAATCAGTTTTTAGTTTAAAAGAAAAAAATCTACATGGTAAGCAATATACTGCATCTTCTAATTTACTATATTCTAACCATTTAAACTGGTCAAACCAACCTACTTGAAAACCTCTTACTCGGCTAGAATGTCCAGTTCCATAAATGGTCTTTGGGTAATATTTTAGTTTTGGCTGGGTTGGTCCTTCATCTATAGTCTGTGAAATATCTTTGGGACCAGGAGCTGTACGAACATTGAGTGGCGTAACTACATGTGTAGGAGTTATTATTGAATTTGCCTCAAACACATTTTGATTATCTTTAGATTCATCACTGGAACTGTTACTAAAATCAAAATGGAATATTTATGATTAGGTTGGTGAATGAAAAATATACACATATTTTTTTTAAATAGATATTAAATTTAATTATATAGGTACCTGTTTAAACTACCAACATTTTCTTCTTCACTATCTTCACTAATGAGTTCACCAAAGTCACTAAATTAAAAAAAATAATATAAAACAAATAAATTATATACTCTAATTTATTATTCTAAAATAATAATTGAAATTAAAATCTCTTACTTGCTTTTTTGTGACAAAATTGAATCAGAATCATTAGTTTGTTTTTTATTTATTACTGATGCAAAAAAGTCATTTATTTTTCGTTTGGACATTATTAAGTTAAAAATTATACAACGTTTAAGATGATATCCTTTACGAGTACGTAAGTATAATGATAATCTTTGTTGTTTAACTACGCGTCTTTTAAATTGTATTATTATTGGGTTTTTCCCGTTTTTCATATTCGACATGGTATAGATAACATTAAACCGATTAAACTGTATTATGCACTGTAAAATTGTAAAATGTAAACGTAAAACGTAGACAAAAATAATAATACTCATTGTCAATAAAATATTAAATCGTTGACAAATGACATTATGTCACAGATAGGCACGGTTCGCGGATATAATATTATATAGCCGTGCAGACGGGCATCATACGGTCTTATAATAATAATAATTTATAACCACAATTATTCGATATTTCGATTTATAATCTGTTCTTTTAAATAATTTTTTTTCTCTTGTAGTTAGGGGGGCCAAGGGGTGGCCAAGACAAATTTAGAGGGGGCCGTGGCCCGCCCAGGCCCCCCCCTGGCGCCGCCACTGTGTATATGCCTGTATATATGATATTACATAATAAAATTATAATGATTTTTTATAGTTCAATCTGCACGAGATCGTAACAAGTAATGTATGCAATTACGAGTCTTGCCTCTGCAAGACAATGAGACATTTAGAGTGAGCCCAGGCCCGCCCCTGTGGCGCCAATACTATACTTACTCAATAAATGTACGATTCTACCTCTGAGAGTGGGTGACAGACGTGTACACACTGTATACTGGGTAAACTATATATATATATTATAATATAAAACAGTTTTAGAATTTGTAGGAGGGTAATATTCCTGGAACCACCGTGTTATAGTACATAATATATATATATAGGTAGAGAATGTATATATATATATATAAATATGTACACACCCAACAAATAAAACTATATTTATAATATGTGAGCGCATAGGCAGCTATTATGACATGTATATATACGGACATAATATCGTGTACACGCTATAAATCGTACGCGTAATATTATTATTATTATTATTATTACGAAACGGCCGACGACGACGTCGTAAAAAAAAAAATGAAAAAAGGGTCGAACATTTAAGAATATTATACGGACCCGGGGGGTAGGGGGAGTGGCGGACACGTAATGGGGTATACGGCGATCCAGGCGCGAGACGACGACGGCGGCGGCGGCGGTTAACGAGGATATTTACGACGCGGATCCGGAATTTAGATACCTCGCATTAAGTTTAACGGTTAAAAATCGGACGGGGTGGGCTGGGAGCCGAAACGTTTATGGCGAACAGACACGTTTGTCAACACGACGACAACGGCGGCACACGAGGGAGAAACGGTTCGGATAATAACGCGGGACGACGGGGGTGGATGGGGGTTGGTACTTGGTCGGGCGGGTGGTGGTGTCACGGGATGGGCTTTATAAGCGTCAAAATGAGATTATAAATTTCCGTTTATTATGGCTATGTTATATATGCGCACGCTTGTGAGTGTGGAACTGTTCCGGAGATAATGCGCCTGGCGTACAGAAAGTTTCATACGTTAACGCTATATCGTACACATACACGTGTGAGCTTCGTCTGTGTGTGTATATGCTTAAAACGATAAAAACTTGTACGAGGGGATGACTCGAATACAATGCATGTACATTATATATATATGTGTGTTTGTGTGTGTGTGTGTGTGTGTGTGTGTGTGTGTGTGTGTGTGTGTGTGTGTGTGTGTGTGTGTGTGTATTATTATATAGGTAAGGTAAGTATATACGCATGGGGTTATACGTCTGGACCTGGGCCAGGCCTACTAACATGTACGTTCGGTATATGCGATAACAGCCATATTATATATACCTAGAGCCATATATTTTATAATATGGACCTTTAAGCCTCTCGGGCTATTTGTTTTTAGTGTGCCAGTTCAGAGGAAGGCAACGGTGAACCACAACGTCCGTTCGTGTATCGTACATGCTGCACATTGGTTTGTCATACTAGCTATAGTATTTAATTAAATCATGAAATTGGTACCGATAGGAGTAACAGAGAATAAAAGGACAGGACAGATTATACACATTTTCTATTCGTCTGTTTTTCTAGTGACTTATCATAATTATTGATGTCTAGTGCGTATTCGTTTTGTCATTTCTAAATTTGAGGTTATATTTTTTAGAAGTCCACCGTATTAGTTAGAATGTAACGCTGACGACTATATAGGATTGTACCCCGAGGGAGTGTAAATACTATATAGAAATTATCCTGTACACTGTAAATGTTTCTATACAATTCGTATTTAAATGCCGTACTTATAACGGACTTTGATGCATTACACAAGCTCATTGGTGATCAAACATGGAGTTGATGCGAGGGCAGGGACGCCCGGAGCGGGGCAGGGGGTCACTGCCCCCCTGAGATTTTTCATGTCACTTATAAAATTGGAAGTTTTTTACATTGCACTAGTCACCATTTAAACTTGGTAATAAATAATTTTAATTCTCTTGCTGAAGTTAGAAATTCTATAGGGAAAATAAAAGAAGTTACTACATTTGTTAGAGATAGTGTACTTCGTAGAAATATTGTTGGGAGTAATTTGACAAAATTATGCGAAACAAGGTTCGTTGAAAAACATAAAAGGATCAGAAAATGTAAGGACCAATATGTAAAAATTGTTGAAGCATTGGAAGAAATATCAAAATCCAATAATTTTAACAGCAAAACTAGACAGCGTTGCTATGAAATGCTTACTGAAATCACTGCCTACTCCAACATTTGTTATAATATTATCCAATCATGGCAAAATATTCTGAAAAATTTGAAACTGTATCAACACTTCTTCAAGGGATAGATGTTGACCTGCAAGAAGCTACAAAACATATTCAAGACCTTTTATCAATGTTAGAAATAGACCGTAATTGTGAGAATCTGTTCAATACAATATTTAATGAAGTAAAATTAGTTGCTTCTAAAATAGATCTAGAGTTAAAGTTACCACGGCGTAGTATTAAACAAGTACATCGTGAAAACTATCCAACTAATGATGTGGAGGTATATTTTAGACAATCCTTATTTATACCATACTTGGAATCAGTTATAATGTCTCAAAAAGATAGATTTTCAGATGAAAAATTAAAAATATTTACAATATACAACTTACACCTAAAAAAAAAAAATGAAACTAATGAGCGACCAAAAATTTGTAGAAAGTATTGAATTTATTTGTACACTTTATGGTTCACTTTTAGACAATTTTAAAGAACAAGCACTGTCATGGTATGATCTATGGAAAAATAAAAAAGTGGAACCTATGAAATTAATTGATATTCTCGATTAAGCCCCATATTACGCAGCGGTGTGCCAAGCTATACAAATGGCAATTACTTAACCTGTAACCTCCTGCTCAGTAGAAATATCGTTTAAGTATAATTTTTAAATCAATATTTTTTATAAATTTTATTCAGTGTATATTATGTACTTAAATTCATATTTAACAATAACATTTTTATTATGTTTCAGCACTTAACGCCGTTTAAATACGTGGATTAGAAATAGGATGGGAAACGAAAGATTGAGTAGCTTGGGGTTAATTAATATACACCGCCAGAGGTATGATGATAAACAATTTTTTATTCAACAAATTGATGATTCAATAATAATTTATTTGCTTCAAACAAAAGGAGATTGGCATTACTTTTTGAATAAAATAACAAAATATGATGTAAATTCAATCAAATAAAGTTGTTTTTTGTTTAAACTTTATTATGTTTTTTCTTATAAATATTAGAACTAATAGTGTAATTTTATATTAACTTAAATGAGTTTTGATTTTTAAAAAATTATTAATTACAGTACTACAAAATATGAGTAGATGAAATATGTGGTGGTAAATCTTCCTATAAGTATTTAGGTACTTATAATTATTTTGGCTCCCCCCCCCTGAGCTACATTTCTGCGGGCGTCCCTGTGCGGGGGATAGATTCCCTGTGATTTTTTTTCAATATTTATATAATAATACAAGATAAATGATAAATTTTATTTGTATTGATCAAATAGTGCATGTCAAAAAAGCAGCCACCCCTTCCCCACACATAACAACAATCATTGGACGGCCACTCCACTAGCTGCCCAACCAACAAAAACATCAGATTTCAGCACTATAAGAACCGAACTCAATGACTGGAATGTTACAAATTACAATATTGTTGTTGTGATTATCTGTGACTAAATGTCTATGTTAGCCAATGCTGGCGAAACGCGTGAATCCAAAAAACGATTTTAGCGAGCTAAAAGTCAATGCTGCATGGTGATACTAGACCTAGATCTGTAAACCCACACATAATTTTGATCTTAAAGATACATGGATTGACATTCAAATTTAGGAAATAGTTAAGCAAATTCATGACAAAAAAAAAATGTTTTTGAAATTTGAATCGCTCATTCTGAACCGCTTGTGCTTACGAGACTGATCCCTCCTCCGGTGAATCAGCCAGCGTGGATGTTGTTGTTGTGGTTACCAATTAATTCGTGTAGCTGGTTCTTTTACCAATTCCTGGACGACACATTTATTCCCTGTATATTATTTATAAAATATTGGTTTTAATTTTTACCTACATGACTTTGTTAAGATTGATTACAGACTATATACCTACTTAATATAAATCTTTACAAAATTATCGATAAATCAACAATAATAAAACATAGAAGCGAAATTAATGTTGATTTAATAACCAATTTATCTATATTTTGTTAACCACACTAACAATATAATAAACTAACACTAACATTATCTACAATCTACATTCTACATAATATGTTGTATAGTAAGTACCGACGAACTGACAGATGGAAAGAATTCTTAAACCGGCGCATCCGAGTTGGGTCCCGAGTACTAGGGATAAATCGCAGGTACTACACTAGTTGGGTCCTGGATTTTTTTAGGTACTACACTAGTTGGGTCCAGGATATTTTTGGGTACCACACTAGTTGGGTCTGAGATTATTTTAAGTAAATATACAATCCAAACGAAAAATGATATTGAACGATGGAGATGCATTCAGAGATCATGTAAGTCATTTTTTTTAAATATTCCAACGATCAATTTATCAAAATTTATAAAAAACAAAATGAATCAAAAAAATGCAGGAATAATAAATCGATTTGATTTTGCAAAATGAATGTCTTAAAAAATTTTAACAATACACGTGTGATTTCTTTAAACAATATTTTATTTATATTATACAATACCTATGTATTTTTTATATTTGATTTTTAACAATTTTAATATTTTTCTTCGTTTAGTACCTGCATGTTATTGCCATTTATTATTCAAATAAAATTCTAATAATTTATATTTTTAATGGCAAATAAACTAAAAAAATAAATTGTAAAAAACATTTTTAACCATAACTTTGGTCTAAATAAACAGTCATAAGTCTGTTAAAAAGGGAAGGAAAATAAACTTATGTAGTACTCAAAAAAAAAAATTAAGACCTCAACTATTGTTGTACGTGTGAAAATTCCGGAGCCAACTAGTGTAGTACCTGCGTAAATCCCGGACCCAACTAGTGTAGTACCTGCAAAAATCCCGGACCCAACTAGTATAGCATTTTTGAATTCGGGACCCAATTCGGATGCAGCCTCTTAAACATAAATCCTTATACCTTTTGATTCAAAAATACCGAAATTATTATCAGGCTCATTTAATTTTAAATATTAACGGTATCTATATAAAAAGGTAAAAACATGATGACGACACGATAAAGGGACTACCTACTTATGCTATTAATTTCCTCACTCGTTATAGTAAAAATCGTTAGACGTTAACGGATATTTCATGTACCTAATGTCCTAATATAATAATATACATTATTATTATACAATATAACAAATAGATTATAGGTAGTTGGCTAAATTAAATTACACATATTAGCGGTACAGACGTACAGTAAAATGGTTTTTCGCAGCAGTGGTCCATTAAAAAAAAAACGTTTATGCTACACATTTTGGCAACATAACGAATCAATTAATTTCATTCGTCCACTCACTCTGCGAAAGTGAAACAATGATTTTCGAAATGAAACATATTGTCCGCATATGGCGAAGTGCGCTATCCGTAATATATATAAGCGTTCTTTTGAACTACCCCGGGTAAATGATTGCATCGTTAATAATGTGCCCTTTGACAGTTTAAATAAACAAAAATTAAAACGTCCAGAATTTCGTACAATATATTTCAGTTTAATGTGTATGTATACAAAATTATTATATCGTTGTACATACAAGTTTCGCTCTTCAAATTAAATCCAATTAATTTTTTTACAAACACGAAAGTTTTAATGTTCTACACATTATATTGTATTGAACACAGCGATAAAAAACAATTCGTCGCCATTAAATTAAAATATATTAAATTACTATTATAATTAGTAGGAATATCCGGAATATGGCATGTAAAAATATATACAAATATATTTTAAAAAATTAATAAAATCTTAAGAGTGCTAAATATGCATTTTGGTGTCTCCGTCTTACACACGTACGATATACCAAATAAAAATATTAACGATTTACAAGTTAAGGAATTTAAGCACTCGTTGAATACCTATATGTCTCAAGTGTAGGTATTGTGTTTATATCAAATACCTATGTTTATAATTAAGAAGTCTAAAATAGTAAAATTAATCATTGTAATAAATTTATAAATGTGTTCCTAAAATGTGAATACCTAAATAGTTTCAGTATGATTCGTAGAGTGATCAGTAGTTCCGTGCAGTTTTCATTTAATGGAGTTTAAGATGGGGTGAATACACTTGCATTTAATTGCAACGCTGTGCAGGATAATCTAATATAATATATAAAGCATTTTTAAATGTATGTATTTTTTATGAGCAATTGTAAACACTTATGAATAATTTTGGAAGTATAAATATTTGTATAAATCGTGGTTCGCTCAAAATGGTTTTACAATATGTAGTTCTAGGCGTTCTAGTATTGGTTTGCAATAATACTAAGTACCTAATATAATTGATCAGATCAGGTGAAATAAGAGTTTATACTTAAGGAGATTATTAATATATTCAAGACAATTCAGTAAAAAGCCTTTGCTCCCATGCACTCGATAGTAGAAGTTGAAGTTCCAATATGAATATATTCACAAAATAGTTTTAACCATTATGAGTCATAATTTATGACCATATTACACATTATTTATCAACACAAATCTACACAAATGTTTAGCTATAATCTTCAAAAGTTTTTGTTATTTTAAAGTCAATGCATGTAGGTAAGTACAATTTTATTGATAAAAAAAATCGTTTATACGACAATGGAATCTTACTACTTTGTAGTACACAAATATTCTTGGCATGATAATTTAAAAAAAACACACACACAAAAATGAATTTCTTTGTAACATTTGAAATAAGACGATTTGGAAAAATGACATGGTATTTCAAACATCAAATCTGAACGGTATTTCCCAGAACTGACCCTTGAAAAATGCATGTGGGTAACGATAAATCATTCAAGAATCCGTTTGAGAGAATATTACTACTCATATATGTGCAGATGTTTGCACTAAATCATTTTCCGAATTATCGGTTTATCTATTCTGCAGTATACCTACACTCTATCCATTGACTGGCCCGTGTAGAAGAGAGAAAATATTTTTATATATATGCATGGCGTCGTCGTTTGCAATGACATTTTTTTTTACAAACCCGTTTGTTTATAAATCGACAGTTCACTGGTGAAATCCCGTTGGTATAATAATATGTGATATTTCCTATAAAGGTGCAGACAATTTATCCAAGAACCGCAAGGATATTATATTCCTGCGGAGAAGCTAAAACGATTTATTCATACAGCACTCGGTCGTAAGGGAGAAGTAACAAGATGTTTATGGAAAAATGAGAGGAGGAAAAAAGTTGGTGACAAGCGACACGGTAAGTATTTTCATTCAAGTTTTAATTTATACTCAAATGCTGTATGGACGTACAAAAGTTTAACAGGACGATGGTGCGTCCCCGGAGGAGAACATAGTTTTTTATTCAAACGTTCATGTCCGTTTTTTATTGTTGTAGTTCTTATTATACTCGCTTTAAAATGTATATGTACACAACTTTACCCAATTACAACTTAGTATACAACTATATGCACCAGATGAGTTATTTGTGTAACTGCTACTTCGTTGTCATAATTAAAAGCACCTAATA